GAAAGAGTAGCCCAACTCCAGGAAGCACAGAGATTCCCATAATGCTAAGGAGGAACACATCAAATTGATTAAAATTAAAGACAAAGAGAGAATAAAAGCAACAAGGGGAAAGTAACAAATACAAGTGAATTGCTATAAGGTTATCAGCTGATTTTTCAGCAGAAACTCTGCTGGCAAGAAGGAAGTGGCACAATATATTTAAAGTGATGAAACATTAAAACCCACAATCAAGAATACTCTACCCAGCAAGACTCTCATTCAGATGTGACAGAAAAATCAAATGTTTTACAGACAAGCTAAGAGAATTCAGCACCACCAAACCAGCTTTATAACAAATGCTAAAGAAACTTCTCTAGGTAGAAAAGGCCACAACTAGAAATAAGAAAATTATGAATGAGAAAGTTCTCCAGTAAAAGCAAACATAAAACAAAGGTAAGAAAACCAAATAATCATCTCAATAATTCCAGAAAAAGCACTTGATATAATCAAATATCCATTCTTAATAAAAACTCTCAGGAAGCCTAGATCAGAAAGAATCTCACTCAATTTGATAAAGGACTTATGCAAAAATTATGGTATTAGAGTTAATGGTGAAAGATAAAGTAAGTTCGAACACTCCAGTCACTTACAATCACAATTGTACTTCAGGTTCTAGCCAGTGTAATAGTTGAGAAAAATAAATAAAAGTCATACAGATTGGAAAGGAAGTTATAAAACAACATGACTGTCTATGTAGAAAATCTGATAGACTCTACCAAAAAATTATTAGAACACGTGAGTTTAATAAGGTTGCAAGACATATAGTCCATATTAAAAAATCAACTTTTATCTGCATACTATGCAAAAATCAGATACTAAAAATTAAAAACACCACCATTCATAAAGACTTAGTGATAAATCTGACAAAACATATGTCAGATTTTTACAGTGAAAACTTTAATATGTTGCAGAGAAAAATTAAGAGTCAATATTAACATGTCAATTACTCCCAAATTCAGCAGTATATTCTACATAATTCCAATCAAAATTCTATCAGGTTTTTTGTTTGCTTGTTTTTTAAGAAATTGACAAGGTGACTAAAACTCACATGAAAAACCAAACAGCCAAAACAAAATTGAAAAAAGAATAAGGTTCAAGGATTTACACTATCTGACTTCAAGACTTATTTTTTTTTTTCAGTTCTATTTTCACCCTTTATTGGGAATACAGAGCAATTATTACAGTCTTGGAACATTAAATGAATAAATGTGGCTGATACAGTATTGACAAGCAGACCTGAATTCTGGGATTAAGTGGTTTTCCAAGAGTGGGTAGGAGCAAAAACAGGTGAGAGATCTTCTTAAGAGAACCACATTACTCAGCCGCCAAAGGGTGTTTTGTCTTCAACTCATTAATGGCTGGAAGGAGTGCCAGTCCTGGTCAACCATCCATGATCTTCATCACAGCAAACTGGAATCTCTAGTTTTTCAAATTAGTTGTAGATAGAAGAGTAAATGCCTCCAGACTGACTTATAAATTGATCTGGGTGACTATTAAAGTGTCCTCCGTTTGTAAACTAGCAAAATCTTCAGTGTGATTGTTGGAGCAAAGAGCCTTTCATGTGCTCCCAGTTATATAGAGCATAGAGGCTCGTGTTAGTCCTGCTAGACCACCTCGTGCTACCCCTCGAAGACCACCTGTACATTTATACAACATGCCTGTCGTGGTTCCAGCTGCTACTGTGTTAAGGTCATCTTCTGCACCTCTTGTTTTTTCAATGATGACACCAAATGCTCTATAAAGCAAAGCCAGAGAACCTAGGGTATTAGCCCAAAGTGCCCCTTGCCTAGTCACCATATTCAAGATCCTGAAGAAAGTGTACTCTGTGTCTGCTCCCAGACTAGAACTAAGCAGCCGAAGTGAATGCTTAGCACACTCTCAAGGAAGCACAGCTCTGCCCTCACCAGTGCCAGACGCCACCAGAACAGTGATGAAGGCAACTGGAGAAGAAGACAGAACATTCCTCTCCCAGCAGTGTAACACTGTTATATAGGAACGGTTCTGTCCCGACAGCTGACTACTGCTGGGATCAAGACTTATTATAGGGACTTCCTGGTGGTCCAGTGGTTAAGACTCCACACTCCCAATGCAGGGAGCATGGGTTCGATCCTTGGTCAGGGAACTAGATCCCACATGCTGCAACTGAGACCTGGGCGCAGTCAAATAAATTAAAAAAAAAAAAAACTTATTATAAACATACAGTAATCAAGACAGTATGGTACTGGGTGTCAAAATAGACCAGAGATTTTCAGTCTTGGTACTATTCACATTTTAGGCCTGACAATTTTTGTTGTGGAATCTGTCCTATGTACTGTATGAAGCTGAGCAGCAGCTCTGACATACCTCTATCTACCAGAAACCAGTGGTATCTCCCTTGTTTCGACAACTAAAGTTGTCTTCAAACTTTGCCACATGTTCCCTAGAGACAAATTGCCCCAGTTGATCACTGAGATAGGAGATAAACAAAAGATCAATGGAAGAGAACAGAGAGTCTAGAAACTGACATGTGTGTGTGTGTGTGTGTGTGTGTATATATATATATATATATATACACATACACAGAGAGAGAGAGAGAGAGAGAGAATGGATTTTTATCAAAGGGATAAATTCAGTTCAATGGGGAAAGTATAATTCTTTCAAAAAATGATGCTGGAACAAATCAATACTCAAATGCTCAAAAGAATCACTCTAAGCCCTGTACTTGTATACAGAAATTAACTCAAAATGAATCAGGGATCTAAATTTAAACGCAAAGTTATAAAATTTTCAGAAGAAAACATAGAAGAAAATCTGAACTTGGGTTAGGCAAAGATCTCTTAGATACAACACGAAAATATAATCCTTAAAGAAAAAAAAAGATAAATTAGATATCAAAATTAAGAACTTCTGCCTTTCAAATGATTCTGGGAGTAAAAACATAAACTATACATCAGGTGAAAATACATATTAAATCATGTTTCTAGTAATGGACCTGTATCTAGGATATACTTTTTAAACCTCTATAAGAAAACAATTCAATTTAAAAACAGGTGAATGATTCAGACACTGAAAGAAGAAATACAGATGGCAAATGCAACATGAAAAGATGCTGAACAGTAGTAGTCACTAGAGAAATGAAAATTAAAACAATAATGAGTTACTACTACACACCTATTAACAATGCCTAAAATGTAAAAGCCTGTTCATACCAAGTGTTGCCTACAATATACAGCACCTGGAACTCTCATACACTGCAAATTGGAATGTAAAATGGTACAATCACTTTGGAAAATCACTTGCGAGTTTCTTAAAAAGTTAAATTTATACCTACCATATGACGCAGCCATTCCACTCCTAGATATTTAACCCAAATAAATGAAAGCATAAGTCCATACAAAGACTTACACAAATGTTCACAGCAGCTTTATTTGTAATAGCCAAGAACTGTAAACAATCTAAATGTCCATCAACAGCTGGATGGATAAACAATTTATGGCTAATTTACACAATGGAATACTACTCAGCATTAAAAAGGAATGAACTATTCATACATCTTGTGACACAGATGAACCTTAGAATAACCATTCTGAGTGACAAAAGTCAGGTTTTAAAAAGGCTCATACTATATGATTTCATTTTTATAAACTAGTAGATGTAATAAATTGATCTCTCGTGACAGAAAGCAGTATAGTAACTGTTGGGGACGGGGTGGGGCAGGTAGGAGTAGAGGCAGGAAGAAGTGGGAATGGATTACCAAGGGGCACTAAAAATCTTCTTGGGGTGATAGATATGTTCCTTATCTTGACTGTAGTGATGGTTTCAAAGATGTATATATATATCAAAACTTACCTAACTGTACACTTTAAATGTGTGCAGTTTATTATCTGTCAATTACCCACTTCAACAGAGATAGTTAAAAAATATAAACCCTTGCCGGTATCTGACTCCCACTCTGTCCTTTGGTTTTAAAATTCTTTTTTTAATTGAGATATAACTGACATGTAACATTTAAGGTATATAATGTGTTAATCTGATAATATATATATTGCAATTATGATTACCACTATAGTTTTAGGTAACACCTCTACTATGTCTACTAATTATTATTTCCTTTTTGTAGTGAGAATAATTAAGATCTACTCTGAGCAACTCTGATATATATAACACAGTATTGTTGACTATAGTCAACATGCAGTTAAGTACATCAGATTAGATCTCCAGGACTTACATAACTACTAGTTGCAAATTTGCACTATTAAGCAACATCTCCCCTGCACTTATACCCATATCGCATTCTCAAACATTTTCCATACTAATTCATAGTTTATTTCTCTCAGAAATCAATTTTCCATTAACAAATGTGATTTTTTGAAAGTTCTTAATTCATTAAGTTTTAAAAATTCAGTCAGCAATGAACATTTATATTACAGAATATAGCTAATTTGTATGTGGTGAAAGTATACTAGGCTTTGTCATCACCACTAAATTAACTGAGTAGAATTACAGATATTTAGATAAAAATAGTACATTATTTAAGATGTCTAAAGCCTAATCAATTGATGGGGAAGAGTCAATGCAGTCCCTCTTTGGAGAGAATAAGATACTCTATGATCCTGAAAAACAGGCAGAGTGGAATAAAGGGGAAAAAAAGAAAGAAAGAAAGAAAGAAAGATAAAGAAAAAGAAAAAAAGCCAAGAGGGAAAAAAATTAATGATCCCTCCCTTTTAAATCATATATTCTTGTTATTACTACAAAAATATAAAACTGTACTTGAAGATGTTATAATGCCAAAAAATATGGGGAGGATGGGAGGAAGAACTATTTATACCTTATTACATGCATTGTTTTAAAAGGCTGAGAGTTGGCTAAGTTGAAAGCATTAAATACATATATATTCCCTAACATAATGATAACAGGAATCACTGGTAGTTATGCTTCACCAATGTTCAGGTTCCAAATTGAACATAAATCTCTAGCCAATATTTTCAGGTATTAATGTGTTTATTTAGCATCTTCAAGATGAACAAAATTACCACGATGCCCAGGAAATGTATAAAAAGAAAATTAACAAACGTAAGATAAAAAACAACACAAGATTTTTTAATGAAAAAAATTACATTATAACAAGGACACTAAACATTAAGTTACTATATATATACACACACACACACATATATATATATACACACATTTTAAACTTTTTAAAAAACCTGGTATAAAATTAAACTGCATCTTTCTCATATTCACATGATTAAGTATGTATTTTGACAGGATATAAAGATGGAACACATACGGCTAGGCCTCAAGATTAGAAACTCTAATGCAGGACCATATCATCAAGTCTATTTTCTATTACTTTTGTGACTTTTAGGAAACATTTACCTTGTATAAGACATAAAAGCTTTTTAAGTATGTTAACCACTTATATAGAAAATTGAGGGACAGACCCACCATGGCTGTGTTTATCTATAAGTCACTGTAGCATATATAATGTTCCCTTGGAGGCTTGGAACATGACAACCACAATGAAGAAACAAGCTCAGCTGTAATAATGAATTCTGACTGCTTGTTTTGAACACCAAACTTTCTACTACAGATATTACACCTTGTAATACATGACACAAAAGAACATATATCAAACTTTGCTGTAGAGTTGTTAGGAGAATGCCAAATACAGATACTAAAAACTCTATGCGCTATGTTTAATACCCTGTGCATTTAAAAATTAGCTGAATATTGAAAATATGTAAACATACTTTGTAAAAAGCAATGCTAAGCACCTTTAAAATAAAATACTGATATACTGTAACTGAACATGCATTTAGAGGAGAAATGAATTTCTCCTCTTCATTTCAATTTTAGAAATGAATTTCTAAAAACTAATTTAGAAAGCATTTTCAAAGAGCTACTCATTAAAATACTTACACGAAAATATGGATAGTTCCAGTTCCTACCTAAAAACCAAAAGAGTATACAATTAGGGATTTAAACCTTCATGCTCTTTTTTTTCTTTCTCTTTTTGTCTGTGGGGAGGATGTACTGCAACTTTTTGTTCTCATGAAAAAAATGTCAGAAGAGACAGTCGCATAGAATGAAGTGAGAAGTGTTTTAAAACTATGTTTTGTTCTTTTTCAGGAGCCAAAGTCTGGATCCTCTACCATCTCTCATCCTCCTAGGTAACTGACTAGAGTCTGTATCTTAATAAGCATCTCTCCTTAACAACTCAACATCAAAAAGCAAGGAATGTCTCCAAAGGAATATAGCTCAAGAAACTCTAATTATCTATTGTCATTAGTGAAAAGTAAAGATCTATGATTTGAAATACTGAAAAAAGTTTCCATAAAAACTAGAAATAACAAATGAAAAGAATATTACCCACAATGCAATATTAAACTATAAATTAATTTGGACTTATGCCCATTAAGTACACACAAAGAAAATCTGGGTTTGAGGTAACTAAGAGTTGTGTTCAGCTTAGCATTGACTTCACACACATGCACACACAACATAGATTTGGCAGCCTGCCTCTATAAATGCTGACATCAAGTATTTTCGATTCTTAGGAAAAGGAAAAGCAATTCTTATTTTAAAAAATCATGAAAAAAATCATGTATGTAACTGAATATTAAGTTTGCATTAAATAGAGGTATAAATAATAAATTTTATGTTAAATAGGGCTTAAATATAAAGAGCAAGGAATTTTAGAATTCTATCTACTTCTAACATAACAGTGCTTTATACTTAGATACATGTTGTGTACCTGAAACAATTAAAGTGAATTAAGAATGTGAGACTGGACTTAGAAAAGCCAAAAAGAGTCACAGTCATATAAAGTACTAAATTTAAATTTCATATGCTGCATGCCTTGAATATTAAACACTAATATGCATTGGAAATTATTATTTTTTAAATGAAAATTTAAATATACCCACAAAAGGTCTCGGGGTGGGGGGCGGTGGGAGAAGGCTTTAGGTTGATTTCTTGATAGCTGTAATTGACATTTCTAATTTACCAACCTTCCAGAAAAGAGAAGCTTATAATGAATATACTGATTAGTATGTATTTAGTATTTGAAGTAAATATGCTTATTCAACAAGCAAATATAACACACTAGTTGTTTTAAAGTTTTAAATATGAGCTAAATTTTAAACTATAAATCTTTACCTTGAAAGATTACTATCTTTCAAATACCATCAATTTATTAAGAACTCTGCCACAGAAAAATAAGTACAACTCAAATTCTTCTCTAACCAGAGCTGATTCTTTAATACAAAATAGGAAAAAAACATCTTCTGCTGATATCAAAAAATTCCCGATTATCTATAAACACCAGGGAATTCTATTATTCTTTCTGAATTCTCTCCATTTCTACATTTTCAACCCAATAAGTAGTATTTTTAACTATAACACATATAATCCATTCAAAAGGCATTTATTTCTCTTGCTTATTTGACTCAAGTTAAAATTCTCAGTACTTAACCATGACACAGTAAATTTCTATGAGATGACCATTGGTATACTACTTGTTTCTAGTTATCGCAGAAGTTAAAATGCAACTACATAGTTTTCACAGATGTGAATGTTGGGCTTAATATTATGACGCAAAATCTGTTGGTTTTTCTTTCCGAATGAGACAGACTTCAGATATTCTCTTGTTGTTAACTTAAAATTTTTCTTCGTAACTTTAAAGTTCTTTTAAAACTTAAAAAAATCATCACACACACACATATATACTCACATACTGTTTTTGATGTTCTTTTTTAAGAACCAAAATTAGATATTTTCAAACGATGAATTAGATAACTATTTGTGTTCAGATTGTATCACTGTGGATAAGTTCAGATGATCTTCTGAAATACTGGCCTTATATGATAATCAAAAAGTATACGAATTATATAAAATAAGAGTAAAATATCTCTTAAGGTAAAAATAGGGAGTTAGCAACAAATGTCAGTTTTGAATTAAAGCTGCTCATTGACCCAGTCTTCAGTCCACTTATCACAACGTTGTGCTTTGATAACATTCACCTTCTTTTTCTACGACATCAGAAGTCACCAGAGTTGTAAATTCTGAAAAGCTTCAATAATTTATGTAGCAGATAATTTCTTACAGTCCAAATTTGGTTTTGCTTCCAGAGACAATGCTGGTTCTTTGGGTTCTTGCTTAACTTGGTTCACAGAAATGGTACCTTCTGAATTTTCTTCAACTTTAAAACCAAACATAAAAGAAAAACCCTAATGGTTAATATAATTTATAATACTGGAATCTTAAGAATTATATGAATTTAGAAGCAAAGCACAAAAACAGTATTTTGCTAAGAGAATCAAGTAATTTAGAAAATTAATTGATGTATTTGAGAACTCAGTGCTTCTGACATCTTAATGGTCATTCACACTAAATTCCTTCAGGATGAAAAAAAAAAAGAAACCAAGAAAACTGCAACGTTATTCTCTTCAAAAGATATTCTGACCAAAAAGCAGTCCATAATTTGATGAAATTATGAGGAATATCTTATAGTTTAACTTAACTGTCTTTAAATACTTGTGTGCTCAAAAGTCAGGAAGCCTCTCATTATTTGAAAATGTTTTTTGTTGTTTTCTTTTTTACAAACATCAAGCATATACTACAAATCACTGATGTGTTACCATTCATATGGTTTTCATACATGTTCATATATTTTTAAAAAATGTTCTCTCCATAAAGAAACTGTACTACATAAGTACTTCAGAAAAAAAATGCCATATCTTAAATGATAGCTCTGATTTAACTGCACAGCTATGTGTTGCTTATCTGAAATATTTCAGAATGTACAACCATTCTGATTTCAAAGTACTTATGAGCAAATTAATGTAATGCAGCAAACTAGCAACACTACTGACATCTGGCACCTAGGATACCTATGATAAAATCTTCCTCTTTCTCAGAAATCTATCAGTTTTTTTTCTCTACCAATTCTCCGGAAAATATCGGCTTTTCAGTTGCTACAGGGAACAAAAGTTAAGGGGATTCTACTTGGTCAGAAGTTCACTGGACAAACCTAATAATTGTCACATATGGGTTAGAGTTTAGCTTATGCCATATCAAGAAAACCAATGCAGGATAGATATGAGTAATCCTGAGAATTCATATTTAGGTGACATAGTCTCTCAGATCATGATCTAACTTGATATATCATGCAAGTTCAGATCCAAAGAGGGTCTCTTTTAAGGCAATTTAAACTACAGCTCCCAGAAATACCCTAGCACAACAGAGGGAGGCAGCATCTTGGAATGGGAAGATGCTTTGGAGGCAGACAGATCTGGCTTAAAATGTCCTCTCTGTCACTTACTACATGTGATTTTAAGTCAATTATGTAAACCTCCCAGAGCTTGGCCTCCCCATCTGCAGAATGGGAACATCGCTGGCTAGTTAATGGAGCATTTGTGAGGATCACTTCATGTATATTCCTTGCCCCTCTCTTCCACTATATTTCCTAGAGACAACTGCCACAGCCCCCTGCATAAATTTTCTTAAAAGTAATAAATTTAAAAGACAATGATTCTTTTCTGGAAGAAACTATCTTATACATGGAGGGAAAATATATGTTCTAAGGATAATTTCTAAGAAGACTTTTTTTTCTTCAAAGCAAACTGCAAATCTCTTTCCACAAAAATGCGCAATCCAGAACAATTTGTGGCATACATCAGGTAGGAATTCAGAGTTTATCACTGTGTTGACTGGGTTCATTCCAAAGTGAAGGTAACAAAGTCCTGATTAAACCCGTCCTCAAGTCTTCCTAATTCCCTTTCAATTTCCATAGAACTCAACATGTAAGTTTACAACTCAAAATCCTTTTTAACCTTTACATCTGCAAACTTCACCCCATTTTTGTGTGTTGCAATTTTTCTATGATAACCTTTACACTAAATAGTTTTTAGTTTATCTAATTCTTGATGTATGTATACAAAAACGACCTTCCTGATTTCACATCACCACAGATTTTCCATGTAAAACTAGGTAGTTAGGGAATGAATAATCTTGATAAAGAAAAAAAATTAAGTTTAGAAGTTATTAAACTCGTGCTCACAAAATTTCTTTCTCTTCTGGTTTTACTTTATTTATTTATAAATTATATAACCACTGAGTAAAAAACAATAGTTTTTTTTCTGTAGTGTAATACTGATGATAGTCCATAAAGGTTAAAAAAAAAACATAAGGTGATTTTAACTTACTAAGAACTGGCGGGCTGTCTATAATCTGTATTGGTATGGTCTGCACATTTCCCAATAGAATCCGATGAACATTTCCTTCCAGAGTCTCTGTATCTTCAACATCTTCAACTTCTACCAGCTGATCCACTGCAACCAAATTTTGATCTGGTCCTGGAAGGTTACTCATGGTAGAAGAAATACTACTGTTTGGGGTTAGAGGTGTATCTGTTTGAAGGCAATGAGTCTGACCAAGCAGTAGAGAATTATTATTCATTACAGCACTTCCTACTGAATCCAGGAGTCTTGTAGGACTGGAGGAGGGGTGGTTATTTACTGATATTAGAGCTGGTGATCCATCAGAAGTGAATCTTGGTTGTAACTGCAAACCCTTTTGAACCAAAAAGAGTTATATCAAATGTTTGAATTTACTGTGTATGTTTTCTGCTTTGAATGTATTATTCTTTTGACCCAAATTTAGAATAAAAGCTAAGAGTATAGTTACTAACAAATACTGAGGACAGAAACAAGAACCAAAGGAAAACTGCACTACTAAATTTTCTTGCATGCATAATCAATTCAAACTTTTCCAAAACATATTGTTTAAATTATTTTAAATCAAGTCACAAAAAAGTCAGAAAATTAATGATAAAAACATCATTGATCATGTTCATAATTCCCTAACATTTCTGTAAAATCCCAAAGAAGAGAAGAGAGATTGAGGAAGAAAGAATAAGGGCCTCAAATTTGGTATCACACTGGATACTTACCTGCAGGTGTGTGAATATTTTTGGCTGAAATGAAGAAAGGGAGGAGAGCAAGTGGGCTGGTTCAGGAGACAAAGAATTCCTTGTCTGACTTGTTTCCACTTTGCTGGAAACTGATTCTCCTTGTGAATTACCTAAATTATATAAAAAATAATTAAAATAATTTTTATGGCTACACTTTATTAGAACCTTTACTGTCAGAAATGGAATAGGAAATAAAGTCAAAGAACTTTAAGAAGTTATCTAGTTATCTAGTCTACTATTTCTAAAACCAGGTAGTTCATCAGAATCACTAAGAACACTTTAAAAAAATATAAATTCCTAGATTCAACCTCCAGTAATTTTAATTCAGCATAGCTAGGAGGGGTTGTAAGAAACTATTTTTTTTCTCCTTGAAAGACTTTATACCTGTAGTTCTAACCTAATCCATTTTTCATGCTGTAATACTGGGCTTACACTTCTCCAGATATGGAGCACCTACTGAGTTTCTCAGTTACAAAGACGAAACTTAATTCATCTTTGGCAGCCCTAGTGCCTAGGACAATGCCTAGCATAAAGCAGGTCTTCAATAATAATAGTATTAAATTGCTTTCAATAACTCATTTAGTAATAAATGAACAGGAGTAAAAATTTCTTTCTTTTCTAAATATCTCAATTTTTAAAAAATATTTATTTATTTATTTGGCTGTGTCAAGTCTTAGGTGAGGCATGCAGGATCTTCAGTTATGGCATATGGGATCTAGTTCCCTGACCAGGGATCGAACCCAGGCCCCCTGTATTGAGAGCTCGGAGCCTTAGCCATTGGACCACCAGGGAAGCCCCTAAATATCTCAATTTTTAAGGTAATTGTCCTCAGGGAATTTGAGTCCTCCTTATGTAATTCTTATATATTAACCCAAATATATTAATATTTTTAGGTCAATCAAAAACAAATTATCAATAATTATTTAATGGGACTTCCCTGGTGGTCCAGTGATTAAGGTGCTGTGCTTCCAATGCAGGGGGCACAGGTTCGATCCCTAGTCAGGGAACTAAGATCCCGCATGCTGCATAGTGCAGCCAAAAAAAACCTACCAGACAAAAAACTGTTTATTGCTTCTATACTGCATAGTGCACCCACGTAACTGAGTAATTTTTAAAAATGGCGCTACTGTCAGACAAGGATGGATTTAAGTACTGGTTTTTCTCTGGCAACATGTTTCTAAACTTCAGTTTCTAAACTTCAGTTTCCTTATCTGTAAATTCAGGATAAGAGAATTTTTCTCAAAGGACTACCGAGAGAATTAACAGTACTCTCACATTTCTAGGCTTCTTCATTTCTAACTGTCCCACCTCAATTCGCTGCAGTCTCCCACCACTATGAGCATGCCCTAAATCTAGGGATAAATAAATCATTTCACATGTAAAATGTGGAATAAATAATCATTCCACATGTAAAATCTCTAATTCAAACATCCCATTCTCTGACCACAACATCTATTCTTCCAGGGATTTTTCTCAGGTGAAGTGAAAGATGCTCAGTTGTGTCTGACTCTTTGCGACCCCATGAACTATACAGTCCATGGAATTCTCCAAGCCAGAATACTGGAGTGGGTAGCCTTTCCCTTCTCCAGGGGATCTTCCAAACTCAGGGATCCAACGCAGGTCTCCCGCAGTGCAGGCGGATTCTTTACCAGCTGAGCCACAAGGGAAGCCTGTGGCTTTTCTCAGGTACTCCACTACCCCTGCGCTTCAACTTCATGTGAACCTTCAGTTAACTGATTCCTCAGTTTTCTTCGGATCCATCAATGTCTTCCTTAATAAAATTCTCTCCCATCCAGCTTAGAGGACTGGTATATAATTTTAGTTACTCTCTTGGAAATGCCTTAAATTCCCTTTCCTCTCTGTCCCTTGGTCATCACACTCGATAAAATCCTAATTCTGGATGAAAGTATCTTCCAGGGCCTATATACATGTAATGCTGATTGCCACTGAAGAAGAAACCCTCTGCCACTAATGATACCAATTCATGACCATCAACCACAGTAGGACCTTCATGTATAGGACAATCTTACAATGTTTCACTCATTCTGTATTAGGGATAATATTTAATCTCCATTTTCCTCAAATCTTGGCCACTTTCTGAGATCCTCTCTCCTCCTTTTTATTGTTCAGCTGCTCAATCATGTCCCACTCTTTGCGACCCCATGAACTATACAGTCCATGGAATTCTCCAGGCCAGAATACTGGANAGTGCTCTGTGACAACCTAGAGTGGTGGGATGGAGTGGGTATTGGGAGGGAGTTTAAGAGGGAGGGTACATATATATACTTATGGCTGACATGTGTTGTTGTATGGCAGAAGCTAACACAATATTATAATTATCCTCCATTAAAAATAAATTTAAAAGTCACCTGTGAATTGGCCTTTTGTAGATAAAGTTGCATACGTTTCCTGAAAGTGTTACACTTCAAATTTTATAAAAAGACCATTCGATCACATATTACTTTCACAATATATAATTTAGAAAAAACACATCAGGTGGGAAATCCATTTAGTCATAAGGATTCAGTGATAAGATCCACAGCACTTGACATCTGTTCCAAAACTGCAGGGATCATTACCAGCCTTAGCTATAATTTCCTAAGCTATTTGTTCTAATAATAATTATAAGGTATCTCCTTGTAAATCTGTAGGGCTTCCTTGGTAGCTCAGCTGGTAAGGAATCTGTGTGCAATGCAGGAGACCCCGGTTTGATTCCTGGGTCAGGAAGATCCACTGGAGAAGGGACAGGCTACACACTCCAGTATTCTTGGACCTGTTGGCTCAGTTGGTAAAGAATCCACACCTGCAATGCACGAGACCTGGGTTTGATCCCTGGGTTGGGAAGATCCCCCAGAGAAGGGAAAGGCTACAAACTCAGGTATTCTGGCCTGGAGAATTCCATGGACTGTATAGTCCATGGGGTCACAGAGTTGGACACGACTGAACGACTTTCATTTTCATTTGTAGACCTGTAGGCCTTATGGTATTTAGACACCTGACTGCTTCTGGGTAGTTTGGTCATTTTTCAAAATCCAGATGCATTATTTCTGTGAAAAATTTGATGCACACAAACCTGGCCAATTAGTATCCTTATTTGGACAGCAAGGAGATCAAACCAGTCATTCCTTAAGGAAACCAATCCTGAATATTCACTGGAAGGACTGACACTGAAGCTAAAGCTCTAATACTTTGGCCATCTCATGCCTGGAGCCAACTCATGGGAAAAGACCCCGATGCTGGGACAGATTAAAGGCAGGAGAAGGGGGCAACAGAGGATGAGATGGTTGGATGGCTTCACCGACTCAGTGGACATGAGTTTGAGTAAACTGTGGGAGTTGGTGATGGACAGGGAGACCTGGCATGCTGCAGTCCATGAGGGTGCAAAGAGTCAGACAAGACTGACCGACTGAACTGAACTGAAGATAACTCTTAAATGTGCCTAATTCTTGTATAAATGTCACCAACTGCAAACAACACCACTATCACCTTTCATTTGGATAGGTGAAAGGGCCTCCTAAATTTATTATGCTTATTCAGTTTTATCTCCAACCACTGTCTCTATTTAAGACCACTTAAGCATTAAGTTCCTTGGACATGGCATCCTTTTTCTTGCTTAGCCTTCGAACATGCTATTCGTTTGATTAGTAAATGCCTATTCATTCTTCAGTTCTCAGTTTAACATTCACTTTATCTACTACTATATATAAAATGGATAACTAACCATAACCTACTGTATAGCACAGGGAACTTTACTCAGTGCTCTGTGGTGACCTAAAGGGGAAGGAAATCCAAAAAACAGAGGATATGCGCATACATACAGTTGATGCACTTTGCTGGACAGCAGAAACTAATAGCTGTTTTAAAGCAACTGTCCTCTAATTTAAAAAAGTAAAAATAAAAGTCACTTTCTCAAATGTCCTACTCTCTGGACTAAGTTACATATCTATATCACTGTTCGCACACAGTTTGGCACAATTCTATCATGGTAATACTGTCAACTCTCTCTCATAGGAATACTATTACTATTCATTATAGTAATTAATTAGAATATATTGTAGTCTTTTTCCCTTCCTAAAATTTAAATTCAAGGAAGCAAGAAACTTACTTTTCTATGCTCAGCATTTATCACACTGAATTAAATATACACAGAACAAATGAATAATTCTAAAGAATCTGCAAGCTATTCTATAAGCAAAGTAACTCTTAAAGGTCAATAGCCAAAGAATAAAAAAAATTTGTATTCTATATATTATTAATTTATTTTAAAGTATTCATTTAAGTGTTAAGTTTTTAGAAGCCACTATGATAAGAACTAGGTATATTAATTTGATTAAAATATGATTCTCAGCTCCTCCTCACTATGGGGGATGCCAATACCCTTTCTCTCTGGGTGTATATCTCTGCCATGCCCCTCTATCTTAACTAAACTAACCATTTCTCTGTCCCATTTTTTGTTCTATGTCTCTGGTAATAAACTTTGTACTTGCATTTACAAAAAAAAACAATTCCAAAATCATAATGAAAGATATATACCCATAAACAAAGAATAGCATGTTAAATGCAGAGGTATCCAAATTTACATAGGGGGATGAAATTAAGAAAGCACCTAAAGCCAAAGAAACTGAAAGTGGTTAGTGGTGAGTGGAGTTTGCCACTCAGAAGAGGAGAAAAGACATTTCTCGAAGAGAGAACAAAAGGGCTAAAATAAGCCTGGAATATTGAGAGAACACAGCAGTAAACATACAAGAAAAATCAAGCCATACAAAATGGACAATAGTTTCCTGATCAAGGTGTCTCAGAGTTATTACTACTGAAATTAGCCCAGCTTTAGAGTAAACCATGCTAATAATCATTAGCCTCAAAATTTCAATCATAAAGAATAAAATCTGACATATACATAGGAAATTTAAATAGCTAGAAGTATTTTTTGATAAATCCTAACGTAGTTGCTCTTGCCTCTTTAGGCCATGGTTTCATTATCCATAAATTAGATGAGATAATATCTTAAATATCTTCCAGTTTTAACACTGCTTGATTTTATATCTTGAAATTGAATTATTCAAGATAACCTACCTTCTGCAAGTGTAACTGTCACAGTCTCTCTGAGAATATTCCCACTATCTGTAGTCCATTGAAGCTGAAATGGGAACACTTACTTCAGTAAAACTATTTTAAAATGGCAATGCAACTGTCATATCTTACCCAATCATAGAATAAATGTGCTTTATTCTATAATTACTTTCTTCACTTGTTCACATTCTCAAAACATAAGTATACTTAATTACTCAAATAAATTATCTTCCCAAGTTCAGATAGTAAGAATTTGACAAAGACTACTGGTACTCACTGGAAAAGACCCTGATGCTGGGATGGATTAGGGGCAGGAGAACGGGATGACAGAGAATGAGATGGTTGGATGGCATCACCGACTCAATGGACATGAGTTTGAGTAAGCTCTGGGAGCTGGTGATAGNACTGTGTATATTACTATCAGCGGTTTCTGGGTAGTTTCTACTTGTTTCAGAGTAGGTAGAAATGGCCAGTTTTCTGGGGGAAATGACAGTATCAGAGTATGAGGTAAGCTTTACATCCACAGAGGGCATACAGAACCAACATTATCACATTCAAGTATATACTATTCTATTCAAACTTGCTGACATATTTAAAAAGAGGTGGAGATATTCATGGTATATACTCAATAAATATCTGTCACATAAATAAGATATACTTTTTATGGAGATAAAATATATTGATTTTTAAGTGAAGATGACTATTGTTATTATAGTCATGGATAGAAATTCACTTAAATTTCTTTTTATGGAAGTAATAAAAAACATTTTAGTTAAATCATCACCTGAGAGTTCAGTGTTTACATTTTGGGAAAAAACACTACTTTTCCTTACATCACAGTTATTTATAAGGCCTAATAGCAACCACACATTAGCTGAGAAAGACTATTGCAATAAAACAAGATATCACAGTTGTAATCATACCGTTGCTGGAATAATCTCTGAGTTATATACATTATCTCCATTTCTCAAGGATTTCTGTACCTCATGAATGTGATTTCTTATATCATTTACAGTTGGAAAAAAGGATAAATTATGTCTTTCAGGTACTTCATCAGGTTTGAAGAGTTCCCTTTCCACAAATTTTCTGTGGAAATATAAAACAGAATAAAAACACAAACAATCTAGCAATCTAATAATTTAGTTCAAGTGAGAAAGGTTCTCTTTTAGCATAAAATTCTGTAAAGTATGATTTACAGCTTTATAAGTAATTTATATTTTTCTACTTTTTTCCCCACACGTTAAGTCATAGAATTCATGCAGATTAAAAGAAAGGTAATATTTTCACTGGTTAAACATCTGTATATCTTAGAATGAGCTTTGATATTTTTATGAATTTAATGAAATCACTATTTTCAGTTCAAACAGTATGTTTTTGAATGCTTACTCTGTCAGTCACTGAACTGGACACTTTACATCTAGTATGTCCTTTAACCCATCCTATAATCTTGTGAGGTAAGCATAATCAACATTCCAACGTACAGAAGAGGGAACTAAGGGCTACAGAAATTAAGTAATTTGCCCAAAGCCATACACCAGGCTAGTAACTAAGACAGACTGGGCCTATATCGAAGTTACACCTATAAACATCATATTTCATTGCTTTCTAAAGTCTTCAGATAATATATGAAATATGATATGCTCAAATTTTACAAGTAGACCAAAGAGAAAATAGAAATAAAAGGCAACGTTGCCACAAGATGGTATAAAAAGTAAATATAAAAAAAGAAATGTTAAAATTCAATATACACATGCTTTGTGCATTATGTTCAGTAGGCCATATTGCAGAGCTGTATCATACCTTTGTTCTTAAGATTTAGGTTTAGTAAAATAGTGGATGGCTTACCAAACTTTGGCTCTGTTCTAACAAGGCCCAACGTAAATACACATAAAATGTCTAAGAAATCTGTTAAACAGAGGTCATGTATTAATTAGGAAATAATCCTGGGAAATACTCATTCTGTTGTTCCTATCCCACTATAAAATAACCAGCAGGAATAAGGTCACTTAAGAAGCAGAAATCATGGTGAAGAGCAAGGTTGTAGACTTTACTTCTAGCTATTTCTTTAACCATCCCAAGTCTCCATTTCCTCATCTGAAGAATGAGGATAAATATACTGAATTTATAAAGTCACAGGAATAAATGAGATTATGCCTATAAAGTACTTAGCATAATATTTGGCACACACATACAAAGTGCCTCATATTTATAATAATAATTATTATTATATCCTGAGTACCAATAAAATTAGACCAGAGAACTACATGGGGCTTCCCCAGTGGCTAAGCAGTAAAGAATCCACCTGCAATCCAGGAGCCACAGGAGACATGGGTTCGATCCCTGTGTTGGGAAGATCCCCTGGAGGAGGGCATGGCAACCCACTCCAGCATTCTTGCCTGGAGAATGCCGTGGACAGAGGAGCCTGGCAGGCTGCAGTCCACAGGGTCGCAAAGAGTCAAACACAACTGAAGTGACTTAGCATGCACACACAGAGTGCTACATATAAAATTTCATTAGACAAAAAACTGCTCATATTCTTTTGTTTCAATAAAATTTAACTGCATATATCAAATGGGTTAAAACAAATATCTTGGCCAATGTTTTAAAATCTTTTCTAGAAATTTTCTTTTGATAAAGGTATTTAGTATATAATTCAAAATATACATCATTTAAAATTAGTCCAATTTGCCAAATCTGAACATGGAATATCTCAAATGAGTGATTCAAATCATTACTCATGGCTTGCAAAACATCTGCTAAAAGTGATCAATTCATAAATAATATTATTTTAATAAATTAATAAACTATATTCCCTATATATTCTGATAGCATATCGCCTGGAATATGTCTACAATGTTAAGTGTATTATTTAAACCAACAAACAAAAATGAAAAACATAAAAGAACAATTTGTTTTTACTGTACCTTAGCTGTTTCCTAACTGCATACACTTGTTCTATTCCCTGTGATACTAATTCTTGAATTTTATGTGCTACTTGAGGATGTAGACGTGAAGGCAATGTACAATTCTCATCTCTAATTGCAGTTTCTTCTTCTTCAAGAGAAGATATAGGAAAGGAGGAAGATGATAAAGGGAGGCAGGGAGTCTCTAATTCATGATACTGATGAGCTTGTTGAGTAGGTAACTGTACATACCACCTAACGAGAGAAAATATTTAAAATTATATTACTATAAAAATGCAAGAATTACATACTTATGTTAATACTCATCAAGAGAAGGAATAATTTTTTTGAAAAACTATATATAACATTATCATATTAAGTGCGTCCCAAGTACTTCAGTGTTAAAGAATCCGACTGCCAAAGCAGGAGATGTGGGTTTCATCCCTGGGTCAAGAAGAGCCACTAGAGAAGGAAATGGCAACCCACTCCACTATTGTTGCCTGGGAAATCCCATGGACAGAGAAGCCTGGTGGACTATAGTAAATTAGGTTGCAAGAAAGTATAAATATATAATAAAAAGTGTTTCTAAATATGAATTTATCATGTTGGGAAAAAACTTCCATATGGTATACAGAATTCTTTGGTCAAAATTATCCACATGTGGCTGATAAACTCAATGGCTTACACATGGCAAGTCAGTCTAATACCTAGGAAGCTACTAATAAAACATCTACCTTATAGAAACCGTTTCTTAATGGAATAATTGGAAAACATCATATAATTTCTATTATAGACAGAATTCTTGTAAAAGGAGCAAAGTAACTTGTGAATACAAGAACAATGGAAATGTCGTACCTAAGAACACCACCAGCATCCACCAAGTTCTTCTTCAGCAAGTTAAAGGCTTTCTCCTGCTCCATTCGGATTATCTTCCTGTCAATTTTGGGGTCTGTAGGAACTCTATAGTCAGGAAATTTCTGTACTTTCTTAATGTAAATCCTTTTTGTAAGAAAAAGAAGAATTTGCTCCATTAAATTATAATGTCAAGATTATCTAACTTGTTAAACAGAAGTTTAATTTAAGCATTACTAATGTTTAGAGAAAATTCGATTATCTAGAAAGCATTCAGATCACTATGTGAAAGATGTGCCATATTCTCAGTATATAATACTTAGCAAATTAACATTAGTCATTACTTTAGTAAAAATGTCTAAACACTACAAAACTTTTTCCCCCTGGGTCCGTCTCTTCTCCATTCTCCTGAACATGCCTGGATTACTGTAATACCCTCCTTCTGAGGCTTCTAGCTGCCATTATGTCATTTCTTGCACCCACCTGATAATATCAACACCATAATAATTCTTCACATTTGTACTACTGTTGAAGAACCTATTTCCTCCTTAATCAAGTACAAATGATTTAGCAGCATTCAGAGCATTTAATATGATTCTAGTTTATTTATCCATCTTTTAATGCCTTCAAGTATTATGCTTTTCATGTGAAGTTTATGATATCTATGTTCCAGTCTCCCTCCTTCCCATGATACACAAGGTTGTTGTTGGGCACAGAGTCAGATCAGTTCAGTTCAGTTCAGTCGTATCTGACTCTTTGCAACCCCATGGACCACAGCACACCAGGCCTCCCTGTCCATCACCAACTCCCAGAGTTTACTCAAACTCATGTCCATTGAGTCGGTGATGCCATCCAACCATCTCAGCCTCTGTTGTCCCCTTCTCCTCCCACCTTCAATCTTTCCCAGCATCAGGGTTTTTCAAATGAATCAATTCCTTGCTTCAGGTGGCCAAAGTATTGGAGTTTCAGCTTTAGCATCAGTCCTTCCAATGAATATGCAGGACTAACTTCCTTTAGGATGGACTGGTTGGATCTCCGTGCTGTCCAAGGGACTCTCAAGTCTTCTCCAACACCATAGTTCAAAAGAAATCATTCTTCAGTGCTGATCTTTGTTTATAATCCAACTCTCACATCCATACATAACTACTGGAAAAACCATAGCTTTGACTACACGAACCGTTGTTGGCAAAGTAGTATCTCTGCTTTTTAATATGCTGTCTAGGTTGGTCATAACTTTTCTTCCAAGGAGTAAGTGTCTTTTAATTTCATGG